TAAAAAGTGAATTCTAAGTCAAATGTAGCTATAGAAATAGAGCATTTGAGTCAACTGCTGTAACAACTGAGTGCTCGAGTCAACAAGAAGCTGTGTGTTTGAGCCAATAGTGCTGGAAACTGCAGTTTCTACTTGGTCCTCAAAGTGAGCCTTTTGCTCATCTCGTCTGTTAGTTGCTTTTTTTTGGTACCAAACAGAAACCAAGCATTTTTTATGGTATACCGAGAAATTTTGAAAGGCTTTTATTTGGTTCGAATTCCAAGGCTTGTACTTGTAAAGGAACATTCTAATGGAGTACTACTATTTACGAAATACCTTGACCAAGGTTGGTTATTAGTCATAAACTATCTTTACTTGTTATTGGTGAATATAAAAACCATTACATTAGAAATCATTATTTATTTATACAGAATATACAGTTTCCAAAACCAGAAACGGTGGATTCGTCTACCTGAATGTTAACCCTAGAATTATGGATGGGTCATGGACTCCATCGTTTTTTTGTTTTTTTTTAAACACGCTTTCCCAAAGTATTTATGCACTAAATTACTTTTAAGTTCTTTACAGTGTTTATAATATCATGAGTTACACACATGCACAAAAGTTTAAATAAAATACTTGTGGGTCCATGATTTTAAACTAGGTGTGTTTAACTAGAAGAAGATTTTTTACTGGAAGCCTCAACAATAATGTCAATGACTGTTAGTTACAGGGCTCCTATTGTCATGAGTCAAACACATTTGAAAAAAGATACTACCAATATTGCTAGTGATCCCATTAATAACTGCCGAGTCTTCCTGTCTTTTACATAGAAAATGAATGTTTTCACCTTTTTTCCATTAGTTTCTTACAACACCGAGTTTTTTAACAGAACAAAATGTGATATGAATCTATAAGAACAAGTTTGTAATATTAGGCTTAAATTAATGTCCATAAACAATAATGCATTTAACTAGAACATGTGTATTTTTTAGTGATAACTTCTATGATGATACGCATTTAATACTGTAAGAGGTTACTTGTAAGCCTAACCCCAAGAACGTTAGTCTTAGCAAATATATTTCAGTAATGAATTACACGCGCTATTCCTATCTTCTGGTAACATACGACAAAAACAATTATATCAAACCGACATAGAAGTTTGACTTTGAGAATTTCGCACTACATATACGAAAACAATATACGTATGCACACTAAACATTTAGGAAATTTGTACCGAGTTACAAACTCTGGCATGACTTCATTTCGAAGTTTGTACCTAATGAAGGAAAAAAAAGGCAAAAAGATCGTTTGTTTTTCTCAGCTCAAAACTCTAAACTGTGATTTTTTAATACCCCAATTGCTGAGAGGGTTAATATTTAAACTTGTTATTTGACTACTTCATTACTTGTCCTCTGGTGACTCAGCGGTAAGTCTGAGGGCTTATAACGCTAAAAATCGGGTTTTGATACCTGTGATGAGCAGAAAATAGATAGCTCATTGTGAAGATTTGTGCTTAATGATAAACAGTCTTAAGTACTAATGCATCAAGTTTTATTCATGAATTGATTGGTTACTGGGTTCCCATAATAACACGAGTCACATACAAAAAATAAACAATAATATCATCAATAAATTAATCCCATTAAGTACTACTCAGGTCCTCTATATATTGTAAATCGACAATGGTTTCACCCAACTTCTTTTCTGGTCAGTTATTTACACTGGTTGTTGTAACAGGCAAAAACAAAATTACTTAATACGATGTAACATGCAAATCACACCGGTAGTGAACGGTATAAAAATTAGTTGGTAATCTGAGGGTTAATAGATGAAGGAGACAACGTTCAAATAATAAACAACGTAACACACGTAACTCAAATATTAACATTTATTAATTAATATATTCCAGAAATGACAAGTGACGGAAACATCAAAATTTACTCATTAAACGCATAAACTGCTGAATTAAAGCTTGTTCAAAACACTATCGAAAAATCCAAAATTATTTTGAAGATCAACAAAAGAGTCCCTTCAATTATTTATAGAAATTACAGTAAATCTTATATAACTTATTACACGAAGCCCAGCCTTTTCATATATATATATATATATATAAATGATATTATCATATCTACATACAAAAAGAATTACCACACATGTGTTTACGATTTTTCGAACAATAACAATTCTGGACATGATATTGAAAAACGAAGTTTTCTCTTGACGAGCGGGGAAGGCGGAGAATTATTTAAAGAACTCGAACATGGGGAAAGTTTATGGATCGGTAAACAGTTTCTTTCATCATTTCGTTTTTTTTTTCTAGAGTTTTGCATATGCAGGGGAACTTTTGAATCACTTCTTGGAACTATTAAACGAAGGGCTATGAGAAAGTTGGAAGTGGGAACTAACATCGACTACTTTCAAATATGTAAACACATTCATACAGATAATCTCATGTGCTTCCATTAGTAGTTCTTTCTGATTCCATTTGCTTCCTAGCCTTTCGACTCCAAGGAAAAAAAAATACATAAAAACAAACCACACTAGCTGAACGATTATTTGAATTTGATAATATGTACACAACAAGTACACTAATCTAAAATTGGAAGAATGTCAGGGACTGTGGTGAAGGGTTTGTAATCTATATTTAACTTCTAACAATCAGTTAAACATTTTTTCCTGTACATTTTTTTGCGACGAAAATGGTAACTTAAAAGTAATTTATCATATGATTAAGTGTAGTAATATTTTGGTGGCGTAAAAAAAACAAAAAAAAGCATGGGAAAATGACACGTGAAAAACTTTTCTGTTAAAGCTTTTAATACAACATATGTCATTTACCAAGCCTTGACATAAGCATCAATCTCATGTTCAACACTTTTTAACTCTTGCTTCTGTGAGCCTTAAAACATCTACAACCCAGAGAGCAAGGATGCAAAATCCCAGGTACATGGAATAAATCAAACTCTAAAAAAAAAAAATAACGAATCATAATTTAGAAATTTAACGAAATGTTGTGGAGCACACTTAATAAGAAGAAAAGTTCAGATTTCGTGAGGTATTTATTTATATGGGTTAGGGTTGAAATCTTGAAATACAAGATGAAATTATTTCTTCCTTAACACGCACCATCAACTATTTGATTTGTCAAGAACAAGAATATAACTCTTCAGTAACAGTCATCATGGGATTCAGAACACATGCTGACTAGATTAAATGTGATGCTTGCAAGAAAGGAAGAATGCAAATAGTTTCCAAAAAGTTTTAAATTTTAAACTAATATTTCTTTAAAACATATATATAAGCCACTGGGTTACCAGAAACTGTATATTTTAATCGAGTGATTCAAATAAACACAACTTTTTTCTGTCTTTGGATATTCTCGTTTTACTTTTCACTATCTAAACGTAATAACATTTTAAACCAGATGACAGTTGACTATTGATATGAATCTTACTAAAACATTTTATAAACTGTTTTAATTTTTGACTCCTAAGCCTTTAATATATATATATATATATATTCTTTGATCTGAAAATTGGAATTACTAATGATATATAGATGGAAATATTTCCAGTTTTTACAAAGTTTATATACTTACTTTGAATGTTTTTCCACACATAATTTTGAGGACATAAATATTAATTGGTGACTTAGTTTAACCCCGAAAACATTAGGACTACAAAACCCTACCTTAGCCATAATAATGTTTTGAGTTGAACTGTGATTCAAACACGCTTACATTTATTCAGAGAACTCCAAAACAGTTCCCATTATAAACTCTACGTGTAATCAAACGTTTCATTTTGGTTTTAAGAAATACAGCATTACTTCTGTCTTTAAAGTTTTTAACATTCAGTCTTCACTTTTCTGGAAGTTTTCGTATTTCTTCGAAAATAGTCGGTTTTCCTTAGGCGATCTCGAGTATCGTTTTCCTTTGTGGGGAAAGTTAAGCATGAGATCAGAAAGAAGGCGTGGTAAAGTGCTGGATATAAAGGGTTGATTTTTTTTTTTTACACAAGACGTCGGTACGATTTAGACTATATAGTTTTATAATGCAAACATCGTGCACACACGCTGATAAAACTTCAGGTAACAATTAATAACAATAAAGGTTGTAACTAAACACACCATCTTCACTTATGAAGTCGTTTTTATTTGCGAACATGAAACATCATAATTCATACTCTTGAAACAGGAGGCTGAAAAGGAGACTTCGTAAACATGCAAGAACTAGCTAAGGAATAGTCTATTCATAGGATTTCAAACTTAGATTTTCCTGGTCTCATGCTTTTTCATACGGTATAAACTTGTGGATTATTTATACACGGTTTCTGTATTCACAGGATTTCAAACGTACACTTTCCTGGTCTTAGGCTTGTATGTACGGCGCTTAATCATGGGTAATGTGTAGACGATTTCTGTATTCACAGGATTTCAAACGTACACTTTCCTGGTCTTAAGCTTGTATGTACGGCGCTTAATCATGGGTAATGTGTAGACGGTTTCTGTATTCGCAGGATTCCAAACGTACACTTTCCTGGTCTCAGGCTTGTATATACGGTGCAGACTTAGGGGTAGTTTCTTTATATGGAAAAATCACTTTTTTGTTATTTAGGAATTAAACGATTTTCCACTTACGTGAACAATATTTTTTTAACCCAATGACTGCTGATTCGCCGTATAGGGTACGGTTTGCCTCCGGAAGTTGAATACGAATGTGCTGTACACAAGTACGGCTAGCAAAACATTCTGCGCGCGTTTAAAGCAGCCGCAGTCAAAGGGTTAATTAGAACAGTTTAATGTGTTTCTCAGCAATGACCTAACTCCTGTTGAAGAAAGCTAAACTTGACATTATTTTCACCGAGATCGTTTCAAGTGCTACATGGTTCGATCAATATTATTTGCAAACATTTCAAAAATCTGTTCGACAAGTCATCTTAAATAGCGTAAAAAAAAAGATTTTCCTTTATATATATAAATCTTACATCCAAAAATTTGGACGTTATTCCCAGGAACTAATTCTTTTCATCTAGATGTTCGATTATTGATGAGTTGTTGGTATGCCTGGCGGTTCCACAAATGAGACTGAGAGCCGAGGATGGATCCTCTGGGTCCTGCATCCCCGAGGGCGGAGTCTGAAGAGGTCCCAGACCTGGAGATATGTAGGGGGGACCCAAAAAGGGGCTGAAGGCATGACTTGTGGTCAAATAGTGCGCAGGCCAAATACCTTGTCGTTGGGCTATCTTCATCCGCGCTGTCATTTGTTTTTTCCACTTTGTTCTGGTTAGTTGTGAGAAGAAAAAAGAAAGCCCAAATGAATTTCATTAAGTAACCACACGCATTGTGACAAGAAAAAAAATGCCGCATGATTTACGTACTAATACATTTTTATTGGATTATTTTGGCTAGCAATGTAATTCAAATGGCATACATATAAAAGCAAGAACTCACTACACCAGATATATATATTCAAATAAAATTAAAAAACATGACATTTAGGACAACAAATACAATTTTTAAGCAATGTTGTTGCTGTGGTTATTTTAGCGCAAAGCCAAACAACGGGTTATATACGCTTTGTCTACCACGGGGAATCGAACCCTTGATGTTGGTATCGTAAGTCTGTAAATTTACCGCTGACTCATCAATCCATTTTTAGTGTTAAGTATCCATTGAGTTTGCTCTTAACTGGATTAAAGGGATTTCCAGCAATACGAACTTTGTTTTGGCATCAGTACATTATGCAAGACAATGGCGATCCTGGTGTTAAAATATCTGAAATGAAAACTTTACGAGATCCACAAAACATTATGGTTTTTTTATCGTATTGTACTGGTACACCTACACATTCCACGCTACTCCAGCAAAAAGTTACGCGACAGTTTGAAGATAACTTAGTTCTTAAGTTTCCAAAAGCCCCAAGTGGCACAGAGGCATGTCTGCGACTTACAACACTATAAACCGAGTTTCTATACCCATGGTGGACAGAGCAAAGATAGCCCATTGTGTAGCTTTGTGTTTAATTACAAATAAAAAAAGTTTATAAAAGCTACGTCGAATTGTTGAAGAAAGAAATATTGACCCCGGTAAAGATCATTCGTATGGGTAGATGCATAAATAAAATTGAATGAGTACATGAATAAATTATTGGTCTGTTACCTCTTTATTAAATCTTGCACTCTTGAATACATTATAGCTAAATACATTTAAAAGCATAGAATATTATACATAACTGTGAATAACGTGTCTGTCGTTTGGAGACAACGTTAGAAAGCTTTTGAACCGCGTGACTTAATACGTCTCACATATTTTTGTAAATTTCAAAAATCACAAGAACTGTTAATGCAAGATTTAATGCTAAAGAGGGCTAACAAAATATTAACCTCTGTCCAGGGTTTCAAAAAACTTTTTACAGTGATAACTTTCGAGTTATAACTAAAATATTTCGTGAACGTGTTTTCTGCCGAAACAAAAGCTTAAGAAAATTACAGACAATTATCGTCAAATACTGAATCTAACTTAAAATCACTGTGTAGTGGTAAACTTGAAATTAATGTGATTAAACCTGTGCTAATTTACTCAATATTATTTTTCTGCAGAGAATTGAAAAAAGAATATAAAACTAACTTACCTCCGATTCTGAAACCAGGTTTTAATTTGTACCTCAGTTAAATTCAAAGCTGCTGATAGCTCCATGCGCTTACTGACACTCAGATATTTATCAGCCTGCTTCAGAACAACAGAAAAGATTCAAAGTTATTCATGTAAATATTGAAAGTGCAGGAAACATTTGGAAAAAAAACTATGTACAAACTCACCATGACAAGGATAAAATAGAACTAATGATATCTTAATTAGTCTCGCACAAGAGCGAAATTACCCGTCCCCAGTAACTGGAAATGTTTAAGTTAATCTATGAATTTACATTATTTTATGGACTTTAAAAAGGTTAGTTGTGTTGCACTCTTGGTTTTACTTAGTACCAAAGCTCTTTGCTTCTT